GAGGAGAAGCCTTGAACTCGGAGGATGCAGGGTTGCAGTGAGTCAAATCGCTGCGACTACACTCCAGCCTGGCAACAAGAGCGAGAATTCCATCTCAAAAAAAAAAAAAAAATCGAATGATCTTCCTTTATAAACACACAGTGAGCTCCTGGAAGAGCCCAAGTGAGACCTGGGTCATCTGATACCCAGATCAGGGCACTGCTTTCTGAGGCTACTGATTCTGCCTGTTCTCCATGGCCATCCAGCTGGATGGCTCCTCACTGACCTGGACTTTGAAACATCAGTATGGTGACAGGCATTTGCAAAAGCAGGAAGCCAAACTGCTGTCTCTAAGGAGAGCCTCTGTGCCTGTCCTAGGGAAGTGTTTTGACTCCCAAGGGCTTTGAGCTGCACTGTAGGCGGCCACAGAGCAGGTGAGTCATCCCAGCCCACACCCGTTCTCTGCTGAAGGGCCCTAGCATCTGTCTGTCTTGGGTGTGATGGGAAATAGGTGCTCTGAACTGACTGGGGTCCCAGGGAGGGAGGACTGCCATTATGGCCAAGGTCTCCCTCATCCCCAGTGGTGAACACAGGAGGCGTGATGGCCTTCGTTGATCAGAACAAACATAAAGGGACTTGGGAGCACAAGTGGTGGCCTCAGAAAAGCTGCAGCATGTGATAAAAGTCAAAGGACACAGCTCACCACTCTGCTGGGCCCCATCTGGACAGTCGAATACGTGGGGTCTGGGGGGCCTTTTACCTAAGCAGCCTGTTCTCCACTGCCTGCCCTCATTGGTGCCTCTTCACTTCCCCACATTCGAAGCTCTCTTGCCAGACGCAGTGGCTTATGCCTGTAATCCCAGCACTTTGGGAGGACAAGACAGGTGGATTAATTGAGGTCAGGAGTTCGAGAGTACCCTGGTCAACATGGTGAAACCCTGTTTCCACTAAAAATACAAAAATTAGCTAGGCATGGTGGCGCGTGCCTGTAGTCCCAGCTACTCGGGAGGCTGAGACAGGAGAATCGCTTGAGCCTGGGAAGTGGAGGTTGCGGTGAGCCAAGATCACACCACCGCACTCCAGCCTGGGTGATAGAGTGACACCCTGTCTCAAAAAAAAAAAAAAACCAAAAAACAAATTTGAAGCTCTCAAGGAAAACACAAGGAATTTCTCCCTAGGAGTGCCCTACTATCACCCTAGACTCAACCAGGACATTTATCATACAGCTGAATATTGGTTTTTTTTGTTTTTTTTTTTTTGAGACGGAGTCTCGCTCTGTCGCCCAGGCTGGAGTGCAGCGGCCGGATCTCAGCTCACTGCAAGCTCCGCCTCCCGGGTTCACGCCATTCTCCTGCCTCAGCCTCCCGAGTAGCTGGGACTACAGGCGCCCACCACCGCGCCCGGCTGGTTTTTTGTATTTTTTAGTAGAGACAGGGTTTCACCAGGTTAGCCAGGATGGTCTCGATCTCCTGACCTCGTGATCCGCCCGTCTCGGCCTTCCAAAGTGCTGGGATTACAGGCTTGAGCCACCGCGCCCAGCCTGAATATTGTTTTTAAGCAAAGTTAACATGTAAAGTAGAGGAAGACATCTTCACTTTACAAACCCTTTTCCCCATAAAGGGCTCCCCTGATGTGTGTATTCGCTGGCAGCTTGCTAGTTTAAGGTCCTGGAGAGATTCAAGTACTAATGCAGAATAATCCCTGCCTCCCACAACAAGGAAAATTAATTACATGCCCAGATTACTGTAACACGGGGAGTAACGTAAGAAATCCTTCAGGGAAGGGTAACAAAGGTAAGTTTGGGAATCCGGAGGCAAATGAGATCCAAGGGAGACAATGGCGGAGGTGGCATTTGAACTGGGCTTGGATGTTGCCATTCAGAAATAGATGAAATGGCCTCCCAGATGGAGGAGCCATCAGCAGCAAAGGAATAGATGGATAGAAGTTGACAGACGATGGATGGAATGAAATGTTAGGCACTCCACATGGAAACCCACAAGGGTGAGCTGAAACAGCACCTTCCACACACCCGAGCCCCAGGGGTACAGGTAACGGCACAAGGAAAAGGCTCTGACTCACAAAGGTACAAGTTAAACCCAAATACTGCAGCAGCAGGGTTTATTCTTCCTTTGTCTTTCAAGACAGGGTCTTGCTCTGTCGCCCAGGCTGGAGCACAGTGGCCCGATCACGGCTCACTGCAGCCTCGACCTCCCGGGCTCAAGTGATTCTTCCACCTTGGACTCCCAGGCAGCCAGGACTAAAGGCGTGCACCACCATGCCCAGTTAATTTTTTATTTTTATTTTCATTTTGAGACAGAGTCTTGCTCTGTCCCCCATGCTGGAGTACAGTGGCACAATCTCGGCTCATTGCAAGCTCCGCCTCCCGGGTTTATGCCATTCTCCTGCCTCAGCCTCCCCAGTAGCTGGGAGGACAGGCGCCCGCCACCGCGCCCAGCTAGTTTTTTGTATTTTTAGTAGAGACGGGGTTTCACCGTGTTAGCCAGGATGGTCTCGATCTCCTGACCTTGTGATCCACCCGTCTCAGCCTCCCAAAGTGCTGGGATTATAGGCGTGAGCCACCGCGCCCGGCCAAATTTTTTATTTTTTTATTTTTTTGAGGTGGAGTCTCACTTTCTCACCCAGGGTGGAGTGCAGTGGGGCGATCTCCGCTTACTGCAAGCTCGGCCTCCCAGGTTCACACCATTCTCCTGCCTCAGCCTCCCGAATAGCTGGGACCACAGGCGCCCGCCGCCATGCCCGGCTAATTTTTTGTATTTTTAGTGGAGATGGGGTTTCACCGTGTTAGCCAGGATGGTCTCGATTTCCTGACCTCATGATCCACCTGCTTGAGCCTCCCAAAGTGCTGGGATTACAGGCGTGAGCCACCGCGCCTGGCCATGCCCAGCTAATTTTGTTTTTAATTTTTTGTAGAGATGGGGATCTCACTGTTGCCCAGGCATAGGGTTTATTTCGAGTGTGAAGTGTGTCAGAATGGACTTTCGGATTAGACCAGAGTTCAAATGCCAGCTCCCCTCTTAACAGCTGTGTAATCTTCCACACGTTCTCTAACCAGTCTTAGTTTTCTCAGCTGTGAGCTCTCTGCCTTTTTTACCTAATAAATTGCTATGAAATTAAATGAGATCTAGATATGAAGCATCTGGCACAGCATGTCAGGCACATAGCATGTGATCAATATATATCCGGTTCCTTTTCTATGCTTGAGGGGCTTAGATTATGAACAACAACTGAAAGACTTCATGGGACCCTCTAGGAAAGAAGAGGCCCGTAAAAAGGGGAAAAGGCAGTAAAACAAGAGGAAGGCATGGAAGAAATGGCTCGGCGCTTTCCAGCAGAGGTTTCTGCTCCACAGCAGGCCACTTGCAGGGTGCTGGTGAAACACTCACCAAACTGGTTGTTGGTTCATCCCTGAACACTGTGTTCCAGCAGCAGCACCAGTAATGCAATTAGCAGAACTGGGCTCGTGGGTGGAACCGTGGGGACGCGTTGAGCAGGGAGAGAGGTAGCACCTTGGGCTCCTGCCCAGACTGTGGGGGTATTAGGAATCAAGGGGTGGGTAAAGATGGCTTCAGAGAGACTGTTTTTGTTTGCTTGTTTGTTTTGAGACAGAGTCTCACTCTGTTGTCCAGGTGGGAGTGCAGTGGTGCAATCTTGGCTCACTGCAACCTCTGTCTCCCAGGCTCAAGCAATTCTCCTGCCTCAGCCTCCCAAGTAGCTGGGATTACAGGTGCCCGCTACCACGCCCGGCTAATTTTTGTATTTTTAGTAGAGACAGGGTTTTGCCATGTTGGCCAGGCTGGTCTCAAACTCCTGACCTCAGGTGATCCGCACACCTCGGGATTACAGGTGTGAGCCACCATGCCCAGCCCAGACTTTTTTAATTCCAAAAGCTAACCTCCACTAGGAAAGTCAAGCACAAGTCCAAGGGTTTTTTTCAGACATTCATGCCTGCCCTTTTAACCTGAAGAAGCTGGCCTATTACAAGCCGACAGGAGACATAGCAAAAGGCATAGGGCTCATCTCTGCAGAGACCCTCCGAGTCCCATGGAGAAGACGCCCCGCTAAGGCTCCTCAGGGAGGTTTGCCATCTAACTCTATATATGTCTGCTCCTCATTCATTCATTCATTCCACAAACATTCACAGGGGAACTACTATTCACCAGATAAGACTCTGGATGGGAAGATGTCAGCTTAGCTGTCCATACCTCCGTCCCTCAAGCTGTTTCACTAGTCAGTTTCTTTATCTGTCCAATGGAGGAAACCAGGTTTATGGGAAGATGCAGTGAGATAATGGACATGCCTGACACAGACTAAGTGCTCAAGAAATGTAAACTATTTTTACGGTAATAGAAGCAAGGTTGCCTGTGATGCTGGATATCTTTCATTTGCCTCTTCAGGTACGTTCCTCCTTTTCCATCGTGCACTGCACCCTGGAATCGGTCAGTATGCCGTGCATCAAGATGCTCTTGGCCTCTGACTGCCAGCTGGGTTTGGTCCATGTGGAGCCTGGAACCAAAACCAGAGGGAGGGAGAAGGTGGAGACAGGGTTTGGTTTTTATTCCTCCACGTCCCTTTTTGAGTTCCTTGACTTAAAGTCCCAGCTCTAATAAGCCTGCCCTCCACACAGCCTGCCTCCAGGTACAGAGGTGGTTAAGATCCCACTGTCACCAGCCCCAGAATATTCCACGTTCCATAGCAGTTTCCCTATATCCTACCTCAAAGCCCCCACTTTAAATGTCCCCAATTTAATCTGTTTTCTACTGGATCCTGACTAATACACAGGGTGTAGAACAAGGGCAGGCCTGGGAATCGGGAGACCTGAATTTAAGTCTCATCTTTGCCACCAGCTCCCTCTGTGACCCTGGGTCACATTTTTCCATTTCCAGGCCTCGAGTTTCCTCACCTTGAAAATGAGTGGGTTGGGGCCGGGCACAGTGGCTCATGCTTGTAATCCCAGCCCTCTGGGAGGCTGAGGTAGGAGTATTGCTTGAGGCCAGGAGTTTAAGCCTGGACAATACAGTGAGACCCTATCTCTTAAAAAAAAACCATATATACACACACACACACACACACACACACACAGATAGATAGATAGATAGATAGATAGATAGATAGATAGATAGATAGGCAGACACAGTTACACACACACACGAATGAGTGGATTGGACTACATGGCTCTTTCATGATCCAATTCCCTGCCACTTCTGGGTGTTAAGTTACAGGAGGAGGACAGAGATGAGAATAAAAGCTCCCTAGTGAAGAGGGCAAGGATGGTCAGGTTGGCCACTAAGCAGCTCTCCCCACCCTCCACCCTTGTATCAGCTCATTCTTACCCAGAAGTCACCTAACTCCTTTCCACGGACTTTCCTTCTCCTCTCAGGTCATCAGGGTACCAGATGCCTAAATGATCTCCACTCCAAAGCAACAGCCAAGAAAACCCAGGAAATTAAAAATAAATTCCTTTTCCTTTCAGTAACTCACTGCCCAGCCCTGGGTTAGCTGCAGAGGTCCCTTCCCAGGTTCCAGTATTCCCAGGGGGCCAAACAGGGAAGCCATTCCACGCTGCCACCAAAACACTCTCACAGGGAGTGATCTGTCTCTGCCGGGGGAAACGCTGGGGACACAGCTGGCTTGCAGGGCAGAGGGAGTGACCTAAACCAGCATCCTGTCAGAAGACATGCAATGCCCTGCATTGAGATCCCTGTCACTGGGCAGGTTTCAAAGAGAGGCCAGGCGGGTACAGTGGCTCACACCTGTAATCCCAGCACAGAGGCTGTGGTGGGAGAATTGCTTAAGAAGTTTGAGACCAGCCTGGTGACAGAGCAAGAAGCCCAATTTATTGTATTTTTGAGACGGAGTTTCACTCTTGTTGCCCAGGCTGGAGTGCACGGGCATGATCTCGGCTCACTGCAGCCTCCACCTCCTGTTTTTAAGCGATCTTCCTGTCTAAGCCTCCTGAGTAGCTGGGACCACAGGTTTATGCCTCCATACCTGGCTAATTTTGTATTTTTAGTAGAGACGGGTTTTACCATGTTGGTCAGGCTGGTCTCGAACTCCTAATCTCAAGTGATCCACCTGCCTTAGCCTCCCAAAATACTGGGATTACAGGCGTGAGCCACCGCGCCCAGTCAAGTTTTTTGTTGTTTTTGTGTTTGAGACGGAGTCTCGCCTTGTCCGGCAGGCTGGAGTGCAGTGGCGTGATCTCGGCTCACTGCAGCCTCTGCCTCCCGGCTTCAAGCAATTCTCCTGGCCTCAGCCTCCCCCAGTAGCTTCGACTACAGGAGAACGCCACCACGCCCGGCTAATTTTTGTATTTTTAGTAGAAACAGGGTTTCACTATATTGGCCAGGCTGGTCTCAAACTCCTGACTTTGTGATCCGCCCGCCTCGGCGTCTCATAAGAGCTGGGATTACAGGCATGAGCCACCACGCGCGGCGTTAGCAAAAATTCTTTTAAATAAAAAATTAGCCAGGCGTAATGATGCACACCTGTTGTCCCAGCTACTGGGAAGGCTGGAGCAGGAGGATCACTGCAGCCTGGGAGTTTGAGGCTGCAGTGAGCTGAGATCGGGCTACTACTGCCTCCCAGCCTGGGCGACAGAGCAAGACTCCGTCTCACAAAAGATAAAAAAAAAAGTAAAAATAAATCATCCGGGCTTGGTGGCGCGCGCCTGTAATTCCAAGTACTCGGGAGGCTGAGGCGGGAGGATCACCTGAGCCCAGGGAGTTCGAGTCTCAAAAAAGAAAAGAAAAAAAAAAAGGAAGGGAGGGAGGGAGGAAGGAAAGGAAGGGAGGGAGGAAGGAAAGGAAGGAAGGAAAGAAGGAAGGAAAAGAGAGGCTAACGAGTACTTGATCCTCGAGGGTAAGGCCTTTTCGGTTCCTAAAATGACTGTTTCAGGGAGGGAGGGAGAGGCTAATGACTACTTGATCCTGGAGCGTAAGGCCTTTTCAGTTCCTAAATTGCCTGATTCAGGGAACCCCAGGAGCCACAAGAGTCATTCTATTCAGATGATGACCCTCCCTGACCCTCCAGGTTTCGGGAGTTTTCATTCGCCCTAAGGGCTGCCCTTCGGTTTTCAATTACAGGAGGAGAGGGCGGTTCGTTTCTGGCGGGGAAGGGAGGTGACATTCCGGTTGAAGAATCTCCTAAAACTCTCATTTCCTGTTTGCCCTGGGCGCTGGCCTCAGGTGGAAACCTCACCCCAATAACTGAGGGCAGCAGTCGGCCTTGGGTGTTCCTTCCGTCTCCCGTGTCTCCAGAACCTCGCGGACTCAATAGGAAGTCACTGCGCAAGTTCAGGGCTTTTTCGGTCCCGATCGAGGATCTGGAGATCTCGGGGCTTCCCTGTCGTCCGCCCCACTGCCCACGAGGCGGACCGACCTGCGGGGTGAGGCACCGGCAGCGCACGGCAGCCCGGGCCTCGGCCTCCTGGCGCCCTCCCAATCGCGCGGTGACGGCCTGAGAGGACAGAGGTTCGCTGCCCTCCCCACCCCACAGGCAGCGCCCGCAAGGCCCGGGAGCTGAGTCCGCGGCATGAGGCGGAGAAGGCTGGGAGCGGCTTCCTCAGCTGAGGGGGCAGGGCTGGCCCTGGCGGCCACGGAGCTTGCGCGCCCCTGGGCTCGGAACCCAGGGACGCGAGCCAGCGCTGGGAGAGGGCGGAGGGGCGGCTCTGCCATCCGGCTCAGGCAGTGGGCGCCTGCCCGCGCCCCGCCCCGCCCCCAGCGCCGAGGCACCGCCCGCCCCGAGGCTTTCCCGAGCGTAGCGCTCAGGCAGCGCCACCGCTACGCGTCTGCGCCTGCGCTGACCTCAGCCCCGGACTCGGTCCGAAGAGGGCGGCCTGGAGGGGGCGGGGCCGAGCCCGAGCCCGAAGGGAAGGCGGTGCGCATGCGCAAGGCGAGCTGGCCGGTGGGCAATGTGGCACTGCTGAGTGGTCGCGGAATCGATCCCTGTCCGCAGGGTCGGGTAATGGCCCCCTCGGGGACAGCGTGTGAGGATCTGGGCGCGAAGGACAAGGCCAGATTCAGCCAGGTGCCCACTTTCCCCACCGTCATGACCCTGGTCCAGAACTGCCCTGCCCCGGGCCTCAGTTTCCCCACTAAGGAGAGGACGCATGCCGGGGAAATCTGAGGCCCTCCCCAGCCGCGACGTTTTCCTTCAGATGAAGGAAGAGTGGCCGGACCCGGCCGTGGTCACCGAAGCCTCCAGCCCTGTCCTCGCACGGATGCCGGAAGCCCATCCACGCCGCGCGGGGAACGGCGGTCCGGGTCCCCCTACAGCCTGGGGGCCCTGTCACCGGGATCTTAATTGATTCCCAAAGGATTCAGAGAAAGGACACATTGGCGCCTGCCTGCGGCGGGCGGGGTCCCCCGGCGAGGCCAGGCCGATGGGGTGGATGGGCTTCTGCTCACGACCGCCTTGTGGGGCGCTGGCATCGAATTGGAGTGGGGCAGCATCGGGGGAGGACAGAGACCCCACGCAGCAGGCCCAGGGGCAGGCGCTCGGCTCCTGCGTGCCACGCTCCGGCCTCCCCAGATCGCCCCAGCACAGCTACCTGCTGGATCTTCCCTTCTCAGAAACCTGCAGTGGCCTCAGACCCAGACTCCCTGGACTTCCCCTTAAGGCCCACTATTCCCTAATTCATCTCGTCTCACCTTGACTGCTCTTCCATTCCCTTATCCCCGCCATACACAGCGGTCTTCCCTTGCCTGCGTCTGGGCGCCCTCGATCTTCCCCTGTGCTCCATCCCCCTAATCTGTGACCCACCAAACGTGCCCATCCCTCAAAGTGTAGCTAAAACTCCACTCCTTCTCCAACCAAACTCCATAGCCCCTTAGTGTGTCTCAGTATTCTCAGAAGAGCCCTGAGGTTGTGTCAATTGATTCTTCTCAATAGACAGAATCCATTACATAATTTAACAATTTATATACATTGATCAGGCTTTGCAAATAATTATATTTGCAAACGAGAAGGAAAGTTCTTTGCCGGACCCATGTATCCTGATTTACAATTGTGCGCTGTATCCTTTACTAGATGGCTGCATCCCCCAGGTGAGAGACTATGCCTTAATATGCAGAGTATCTAAATTTTTTTGGAATCCTGGTGAGAAAAAAATTCCGAAGTTTGGAGAAAATGGAAATATAACAAATCTTTTTGCACTCTTCACAATACAAAATCTCATCTTTTAGTGTGTCTGAAAAATATACAGTGCACAATTTGCTGTCAGCTCCAGATTACTACAAATCGATGCGATGAATAGAGTAGAAAGGATATTGGGATGGGTAGGAAACTGGCCTTTTGGTGTGGTTTGTCTTGCATTAGCAGAGTGAATTCAGGCCAAACTCAGGCAAAACTGCACCTCTGTAGATGCAGTTTCCCCATGTTAGATTTGGGTTTAGGAATAGGAAATATCCCTGCCCCCATCTACTTTACAACATCATGGTAAAGATCAAATATGAAAGGGAGATGGAGTTAACATTTTTTTTAAAGTATTTTTTGTTCAGGAAAAATCCTCAATAAATTTTCTAACAAAAATTACTTTTAATATATACATATATATAGAGAGACAAGAGTTTCGCTCTGTCGCCCAGGCTGGAGTGCAGTGGTGCGATCTCAGCTCACTGCATCCTCCACCTCCCAGGCTTAAGCGATTCTCTTGCTTCAGCCTACGAGTAGCTGGGACCACCGGCACACACCACCACGCCCAGCTAATTTTTGTATTTTTGGCAAAGACGGGGTTTCGCCATGTTGACCAAGCTGGTCAGCATTCTACAGACAACCTTGTGTCACACCATACTACTCTCAGTTTCTATTTGTTTTGTTTTTTAACTGAGACAGGTTCTTGCTCTGTTGCCCAGGCTGGAGTGCAATGGTGGGATCATGGCTCACTGCAGCCTCTACCTCCCGGGCTCAAGCGATCCTTCAACCTCAGCCACCTGAGTAGCTGGGACTACAGGCGCATGCCACCACACCCAGCTAATTTTGTTGTTGTAGAGAGGTGGTCTCACTATGTTTCCCAGGCCAGTCTTGAACTCCTGTCCTCAAACGATCTTCCTACCTTGGCTTCCTACAGTGTTGGGATTACAGGCATGAACCACCTAGCCCAGCCAGTTTCTGTTATTCTAATGCTTTTTTATTGCCTTTACTTTCTTGTGAAGAAAAATTACCTGAGGTGAGAGGATCACTTGAGCCCAGAGGTTTGAGACTAGCCTGGGAAAGATGACAAGACCCCATCTCTCTAAAAAAAACACAGCCTGGAGTATAGCGGTACGATCTCAGCTCACTGCAACCTCTGCCTCCTGGGTTCAAGTGATTCTCCTGCCTTGGCCTCCCGAGTAGCTGGGATGACAGGCGCCCTCCACGATGCCTGGCTGATTTTTGTATTTTTAGTAGAGACTGGGTTTCACCATGTTAACCAGGCTGGTCTTGAACTCATGACCTGAAGTGATCTGCCAGCCTCGGCCTCCCAAAGTGCTAGGACTGCAGACATGAGCCACTGCACCCAGCCAAAAAAAATTTTTTTTTAATTAACTGGGTGTGCTGATGTGCACCTGTAGTCCCAGCTACTTGGGAAGCTGAGCTGAGGCAGGAGGATCATTGGAGGCCAGCAATTCGAGGCTGCAGTGAGCTGTGATTGCATCATGTCACCCAGCCTGGGTGACAGAGTGAGACCCTGTCTCAAAAACCCGCACAGACACCTTTACTCCCCCAAACCCCACTTATTCACTCTGATGGCACACGGGTGATGAGCTCCTGCATGTCAGGCACTGTGCTAAGTACCTGGGCACCTGTTTCCCCACATGCATGGGCTTTACATATGTATTTGCACACACCTTACGCATATAACCATGTGTAACCCCCATGGATTCAGATGATACATCCACTTACCCTTAAAAACACTCCATTCACGCCCCTCACTTTATCTGTTTATCCTGGTCCCTGATTGTCCTTTCTCCATTTTCTGTTTCTGTTTCTCTATCATCTTATGGCAGGCAACGTGAAGATGGTGAGGCTTGTGAAACAGCACAATTTTGAGGCAGATTCTGGCATATTACTTCACATTTATCTTTAAAACAGACCTCCCTCTTCCAGGCAAGAGCTCTGGGTTTCTCCGGGGAAAGGGTGGAAGAGGGACACAGGGTTGGGTGGGTGAACAGGAGTGGCCTTAGTTGGGTCAGGTTGCTCAGTTGCTCAAAGACCGTGGACTGCAGACTCTCCCTTTCTCCCCAGGGCCCAGTTTTCTCCCTTTCAAAACCTGCTCTCTACCTGCGAGATGGCTCACATCTCTAATGCCAACACTTTGGGAGGCTGAGGCAGGAGGATGGAATGAGGCCAGGAGTTTGAGACCAGCCTGGGCAACATAATGAAACTTCATCCCTACAAAAAAATTTTTTTTCAATTAGTCAGACATGGTGGCATGTGCTTGTAGTCCCAGCTACTCAGAAGGCTGAAGCGGGAGGATTGCTTGAGCCCAAGAGGTCAAGGCTGCAATGAACTATGATCGCGCTACTGCACTCCAGCCTGGGTGCCAGAGTATCTCAAAAAAAAAAAAAAAAATTGGGTAGATGTGGTGGCTCACGCCTGTAATCCCAGCACTCTGGGAGGCTGAAGCAGGCAGATCACTTGAGGTGAGGAGCACAAGATCAGCCTGGCCAACACGGTAAAACTCTGTCTCTACCAAAAATACAAAAATGAGCCAAGCATGGTGGTGTGTGCCTGTAGTCCCAGCTACTTGGGAGACTAAGGCAGGAGAATTGCTTGAACCCGGGAGGTGGAGGTTGCAGTGAGCCGAGATGGCACCACTGCACTCCAGCCTGGGCGACAGAGCGAAACTCCATCTCAGCAAAAAAAAAAAAAAGATTGAAAACAACAAAAAAAACCTGTTCGCAAGCAAGATGTGAAACTCCTTCGAAAACCCCAGAAGTAAAACATAAAAATTAAAGGACCTCTGCTCTGAAGAGGACACTAGAAACAGCAAAATGTGGTAGAAAGGGCTCAGGGAGTCAAGGACACGTTCAGGTTTCTCTAAAGACAGGTCCAAGCGGGAGGCTCAAGTCCACATTTCCTGGAGGAGGAAATCACTTTCTGGTGAAGCCAAGAGGAGGTGGCAGCCTTATCATTCAGGAAACCTTTGTGCCTGCCTCCACTGGAGCCCTCAGGTATCTGAGGCAGCCGCATGGATGCCCAGGGGAAGGAGGCATTGAGGTGCTGAGGAGAGAGCAGTTCTTTAAGTTTCAGAGGACACCACGCTGGCCTGGGCTTCCTGGGTGGCTGAAAGCAACTCAGCCTCTTCCCCAAAGAAGGTCCTGGGGCATCCAGCTAACACACAGGTGGGCAGTTTCTTAATTTCCAGTCTCTCCCCAAGAAACTTACACATGAATTCACTCTACCAGATAAAAGGAGGACGAAGAGACTAACCTAGCTGGAGACCATGAGAAAGCACGCGGTGTTAAAGAGAGATCGGAACTTTATTGAGACTGATGAAATCAGAAACGAAAGAACACTGGAAAGGTTCAGCCACTGTCCAGGCAGACATCCTTCCAGACACTCCTCTTGGGGGAATCTCTGGATCCTTAAGTTTCCCCCAGTTGCTAATCCCCCACCCCAAAGAGTCAGAATTCTGCTTAAAGCCCCTCCACGGAGCTGGCCAGAAACCAGACACTGAATATCTGTGTGGGACTGATGGGCAGGCCTGTGAGCAGCAGAGACGAGAAGTCGGAGAAGGAACACGAAAAGGAAAACAGATACCTGACGAAAAGAAAAGCCCAAGGCAGGGAGAGCACGCTGATAACGTAGCCCCCTGAAAATATAAATATTGCACGAATGTATTAGCCTTATCCCAGCCATTTCCCCCAAAGCAGTGGTGACATCAACAGCTATGACAATGCCCACACAGTTGTGCGTGTTTTTTTGTTTTTGTTTTTCCCCTGACTACACAGAAAAACAGATCTGCCAAAGCAGCTCACAGCATGGAGGAGCAGGCCAGGGAAAGTGGGAGGGCCCATCCCCCAAGAGGGCAGACGGTACAGAGATGAGGTGAGGGGTTCTGGGGTTTGCGAAGGGTGGTTAATGAGAAGCGGGACAGATTCCATCTCATCAGCCCCTATCACAGGCTCCATAGATGCCCCTTGCAGAACTCACTTTTCTTTCCTGGTCGACTTGTTCCTTGGAAACATTGTCCTGAGTGCCCTGGAACCTCGGGTGTTCTTGTGGAAGGTTCCAGGCCCTCCACAAAGCCAAATGCAACGGCCCCTGTGACAGCATGCACCAGACTGATAACGATTCTAAGAACCAGGAATTCCTAACTCAAGGTTCTCTGCGTAGACCTAACCTGACCGCGAACTGGCTTACCCTGCCTGACCTCGGAGTGCCTCTCCCTCTGCCTGCCTTTCCACTGTCCTTCTGCTCCAGGATGACTTCCTGGTGCTGAGCTGGTGCATCCTGACTCCTGCCTTGTGGGTAAGGCCCCCAGGACAGCTTGTTCCCAAGAGAAGCGGCTGGCTGTGCACAAAGGAGTCCCTCGAGGCAGCCCGGGCTGGGTCTCCTGGGCGTGCACAGACTGTGCACCATGCACATTTCACCATCCAAAGGCTGCTTCTTCCCTGTGGGGCCTGCTCCTCTGCTCCCCACCACCTGCTGCAGAGCCGTGCATGCTATAGCCTTGCAAGACTGTTACAAGCTCTCTACTCCCTCGAGCCTATGTGATCTCCCTAATATCTCTTGGCCAACATACACACATATTCACACTCATCGGTACTGAAGGCCCTGGCTTTCCTGCGGTGTGTTCAGTGGACATCTGTGTCAAGGTCAGGCGGGAAGGTCAATGTTAAGCCTTGGTAGCCGCCGACACCGAGTGGCTGGTGCTGGTTCTGACTCCTAGGAAATTGCTCCGAGTTTTAAGTGTTGATGCATCAGGGAATGGAGAAGAAAGGAAAGGAAAAGCCGTGATGTGGAAACTGTGAAGGAGCAACTCCGCTGCTGAGTGTTTCCACAGGGGAGTCGTGGAACAGCCTCCTCTGAAATTTGGGAGAGACTGGCGGCCTAAGGAAAAGGAGCAAAGTCTCCACTGTCCTCTCTGAAACCCAGCGCCTTTGGGATCTGAGTTTTCCAAGACATGCAATAGACAAAGACACACTGCAAACCAATTAACCCTCTGAGCCCTTCCACGACCTTCACTAAAGTGACTTCCAAGAGTAAATTACCTGGATACACCAACCAGTCCCCTCCTTCTGGGGATCGTGCCCCTGAGCCAAGCTGGCTTTGAGGAACACACCAGAGAAGTGGCAGTGGGGGAGGCAGATCCCCGTCCTTCCTGGGAACTCCTGTTCTTACTTGTCTAGTGTCCTAAACCACTGCCCCACCCCTTGAAGAAACCAGGAGCAAGTCCTGGGGATTGGCTCAAAACCCAGGTGGAGGCCGGGTGCGGCAGCTCATGCCTGTAATCCCAGCACTTTGGAAGGCCGAGGCATGTGGATCACTTGAGGTCAGGAGTTTGAGGCCAGCCTGGGCAACATAGTGAAGCCCCATTTCTACTAAAAATACAAAAATTAGCTGGGCGTGGTAGTAGGCCTATAATCTCAGCTACTAGGGAGCCCGAGGCAGGAGAATCGCTTGAACCCAGGAGGTGGAGGTTGCAGTGAGCTGAGATGGCGCCACTGCGCTCCAGCTTGGACGACAGAGTGAGACTCCGTTTCAAAAAAAACAAAAACAAACCCAGGTATATTCAGACCCAAGAGATTGTTCACTGTTGAAAGTCAGCCCAAAGTTAAGAGGCAGCCAAGGGAACAAACGCGAGACTGTGGGTGTGGAAAGAAGCCAAAAGGGACCTGACAATCTCTACGACTCAGGCCTTCGCTGTTTTCCCAGCTCCCAGGGGACAAGGAATTTCAGCTGCTTTTCGCTTTTTTGACCCTCACTGATTGAAGACACACTACAATTTAGCTGCTCTCTGTCCTTCCAAGACAGGACCCAGGAAAAGCAGGTGGAGGCTGACTTGCCTCAATCAGGCCTCCTCATTGAAGCGACAAGACAAGCACGCTAGAATTCACAGTTTCCACTCTCCTCCCTAGACCCACGCACCTGCCCCGACCCCTGGCCTCAATGAACTCCCAAATCTCCACTATGTAATAATTCCTGCCACTGTGGCTCAAAGGGTTAATAAACCGGGACTTCTCAGACAGGACACAAGCTCATTCACCAACAGGAACCCAAGAACCGCTATACCACCTAGTGCTTCCTGTAGCGATTTTTTGGGGTTTCGCTACACCCTGTTTTGTCACAGTTGAGAGCACCTGGATTCTTCCCTAGCCCGAGGCTACCCAGGAGGCCCGGAAGCTCCTGAGTGATGGCCCGCTCAATCTTCTCCAGAAAGCAACCTCCCATGTAGGAGCACTGCTGGGAGAGCAGTTTGAAACTGGAAATGGGATTGATGCCAAAGAAGTCCTTATAGGCCTCACGGTTGGGAAGGTCAAATTTGCTGACATTGGTCTTTGCCAGGATGGTCTTGAAGATGTAGAATTTATCAGGATCTTCCACAATGTCCTTAAAGACCAGTTCTCCGTCACTGAAGAAGGTCATTTTGTCCTTGTAAGTCTGCAGGTAGCGGTCAACCAGGAGGGCGTGGATGCGGACCCGGATGGCGTGCTGGCGGATGAAGGCAATCTTGTTCTCCAATCTGTTCTCGATCACCTGATTCAGGTCTTCCAGGAGGGAGATCTCTTCTTGGAGGAACAGTTCCTGATGGGTGTCTGGCTTATACTCTTGCGGCCAGAAGGAGCTGACGTAAACCCTTGGGGGCTCTGTGACATTGATGAGAGGGGCCAGGCTCCAGAAGAGGGCCCCGTAAACCCGCATGAGCATTTGGGTGGCCAGATTGTCAGCCTTGTTCAGGATGATCCTTATCTGAGATTCACGCCCCTTCAACTGGCGGAAGAGCATCTCCAGCTCCAGACCCACATCCAGCTTGGTTGGGTCAAAGACGACAAAGATGAGGTCAGCTCTGTCGATGAACCACTGGCACACGTCGTTGAAGGGATACCCTTTGGGAGACAGAAGCGAAAAGTCAAACTGAGTAGACCTCCCTCAAAGCCCGCACACCTCCTTTCAGAACTGAACCATTCTGGGGGTTGAAAGAAGGAACAGCACTATGGATTTTCTGGGTGCCTAAAGACTATTAAAAAGTCAATGATATAACCTGTCCCTTGCCAACCTTCAACTAAGAACAACCTGATCCTTGTTTTTCTTGTTGGTTTGTTTTTTGAGACAGGGTCTCACTCTGTCACCCAGGTGGGAGTGCAGTGGCATGATGACAGCTCACTGCAGCCTCAACCTCCCGGGTTTAAGAATCCTCCCACCTCAGCCTCCCAAAGTGCTGGGGTTATAGGCATGAGCCACCACATCCCACCTGATCATCGTTTTAATCTACTGTGAAATCCAAGTTTCCAAGAAAGCTAAATACCTGTTCAAAATGGAGATTGTCCTATTGCCTAAAAGGACCTGGGGCAATGGCAAAGATGCTGAGGGAGAGAAATGAGGAATTAGAGGAACATGAAAGAATGAATGCATTATTTAGGGGGAAGGAGTGTGGGCTTGGCCTTGAGACCTGGACTAGAATTTGAGCTTTGCCCCTGGCCAGCTGTATATTAAATGCCTCTAAGCTCTACTTTTTTAGCTCCAAAATGACAAGAACAATATCAACATCTGAGCTGATATAAAGATTACCATGTTGCTGTAAATATAGGAGAGCACCTACAATTCCAGTCATACAGCTGGTGCAGAATACATTTTAATTCCATTAGCTTCTTATTTCCTAGTTTTCTTTGCAAATAAGAAAACTGAGGAGATGAGGACTAACACTGAAATCTTTGAAATCTTTTTTTTACAATAATGTATAAAATTATCCAATGTGTAGTGGGGGTACAATTTACTATTATAATTATTAACATTATTAATATTACTAATACTACTACAAATGTTGTCATACCATAATAATATAATTAAGTATACTATAATATTACTAATATTACTACTATTATTAATTGCTTCTAATATTACTGCTAATATCATTACTGCAGGATCTATTTATAACCACAATTGGAGTTGTAACCATCAACTGAGATCCACCGTCTGGTCACATATTCCCACACTGCTCTGTTGAGGACTCTCTGCAGATAGCCTTGCCTCATGGCAGGACTCAGTGGTCTACTCCACAGCCGCATGCCTGGTAGCATCTGGCTTCTAGTCTTGTGGCCTGGTTGTCAGCCTTGTTCATTAAATACATTCACACTGTTGTACAACCATCACCGCCATCCCTCTTTGGAACTTATTCATCTTCCCAAATTGAAAACTCTGTACCCATTTAACAGTCACAGCCCATCTCCCCTTCCCCCGAGCCCCTGGTTAAAACCACTCCGGTTTCTGTCTTTCTGATTTTGCCTACTCTCATGTAAGTGAAGTCAGACAGGCCCAAAGTAGCATTTCCCTGCTACCTGAGGGCAAGTAGGGCTTTGAAGAAGGCTGCTAAAGCCTTATGGAGAAGCAAGCCTGGAAAAGCAGAAACCGGGAATAGGAAGAGTTGAAGGTCAGGTTCAACCTACAGCAGGCCCAGGAGCACCAGACCCAATTTAGCCAGAAGCCAAATATACTGTTACTGCGATCCAATGAGTCCAGGCCCTTGGCTACACAGGACAGACGGGGCCTCCCAGAGACAACTGAGCCCCAGCTTGAACCTCTCAGAGCTGCTTGCAGAGAGGACTAGGCCCCCACTTTGGAAAATATTGCCGTCTCCAAACCAAATCAGTCCTGGGGAAGGTAGGAGGACCAGGCACTCCAAAACCCAAGTGGCATCGCAGTGACGACAAGAAGGGGTGGAAGAATGCCTCTCCTGGTTGTGGGCAACACTGGGCACACGTCCTCTCCCTGCCTGCCTACCACCCACTGTCAAAAGTCGTTTTCTTTTCTTTCTTCCTTCTTTTTTTTTTGAGACAGAGTCTTGCTGTGTCACCAAGGCTGGAGTGCAGTGGCATGACCACAGCTCACTGCAGCCTTGACCTCCTGGGCTCAAGCAATCCTCGCAACTCAGCCTCCCAAGTAGCTGGGACTACAGACATGTGCCACCATGCCAGCCTAATTTGTATAGTTTTTGTAGAGGCAGGGTTTTACCATGTTGTCCAAGCTGGTCTAGAACACCTGGGCTCAAGTGATCCATCTGCCTTGGCCTCCCGGAGTGCTGGGATTACAGGTGTGAGCCACTGTGCCCGGCCCTATTTATTGATTTATTTATATGAGATAGGGTGTCACTCTTGCCCAGGCTGGAGTGTAGTGGCACGATTATGGCTCACTGCAGCCTCAACCTCCTTGGCTCAAGCAATCTTCCCATCTCAGCCTCCTGAGTCGCTGGGACCATAGGCACATGCCACCATGCCTGACTAATCTTTTAAATTTTTGTATAGAGATGGGGTCTCACTATGTTGCTCAGGCTGGTCTTGAACCCCTGGCCTCAAGGGATCCTCCTGTATTGGCCTCCCAAAGAGCCGGGATCACAGGCATGAGCCACCATGCCTGGCCAAAAATAATTTTTTGAAACAGAGCTTACACTGTTCAGAAATGAGGGCTAAATTACCTCTTTCTTGCTGCTTGCGGTTCTCGATGATGCCTGGTGTGTCCACAAAAGTGACCCTCTCCAGAAGTTTGTGGGGAACCTCAATGCCAATCAGCTTCTCTAGGAAATTCTGGCCAAACTTCTCAAGGGGTGAGAAGGAGCGGGCGCTGTCAGCAGCCATGACGATGCCCTCGATGGTTTTCAGCTTGGGCCCGTGCATGAGGACCGTGAACTCAGAGGTGGTGGGTTCGGCGCCTGGCACACAGGGTGAGAGGTGAAGGAATACGTGATCTCTGTGAAACAGACCTACTGAGAAGCATGTGTATATGCCAGGTGTCACCGGGAGACTTTTGCAACAGAAGTGGATATGTTTGCTAAGCTATTGGGGCTTTATTTTAATTGTGGTAAAACATATATAACATAACAGTTACCTTTTTTTTGAGATGGAGTCTTGCTCTGTCACCCAGGCTGGAAAGCAGTGGTGCAATCTCAGCTCACTGCAGCCTCCATCTCCTGGGTTCAAGCGATTCTCCCACTGGTCTGGAACTTCTGACCTCAAATGATCTGCCCACCTTGGCCTCCCAAAGTACTGAGATTACAGGTGGGGACCACCACACCCAGTTAATTTTTTGTATTTTTAGTAGAGACAGGGTTTCACGATGTTGGCCAGGCTGGTCTCGAACTCCTGACCTCAGGTGATCCTCCTGCCTCGGCTTCCCAATGTGCTGGGATTACAGGCATAGAGCCACCGTGCCCAGCCTTTTTCTTTTTCTTTCTTTCTTTCTTTCTTTTTTTTTTATTGTGAGATGGAGTCTCGCTTTGTCGCCCAGGCTGGAGTGCAATGGCGTGATATCGGCTCACTGCAAGCTCCGCCTCCCAGGTTCATGTCATTCTCCTGCCTCAGCCTCCCCAGTAGCTGGGACTACAGGCGCCCGCCACCACACCCAGCTAATTTTTTTGTATTTTTAGTAGAGATGGGATTTCACTGTGTTCGCCAGGATGGTCTCCATCTGACCTCGTGATCCACCTGCCTCGGCCTCCCAAAATGCTGGGATTACAGGCATGAACCACCTCACCCGGCCCTCAAATTCTGTAGTGGCCTAACTTTCCTTTTTTCTCTCTTTTTTTTTTTTTTTGAGATGGAGTCTCGCTCTGTCACCCAGGCTGGAGTGCAGTAGCGCAATCTCAGCTCACTACAATCTCTGCCTCCTAGGTTCAAGCAATTCTCATGTCTCAGCCTCCCGAGTAGCTGGGATTACAGGCATGTGTCACCACACTTGGCTAATTTTTGTATTTTTTTAGTAGAGGCGGGGTTTTTGCCATGTTGGCCAGGCTGGTCTCAAACTGATGGCCTCAAGTGATCCACTGCCTTGGCCTCCCAAAGTGCTGAGATCACAGGCATGAGTCTTCATGCCCAGCCAGTGATTTAACTTTTCATGGTGCTTTTACACCATGAAAATATAGCATTCAAATCCTAACAATCACACAAGAATACTGATTACCTGTATAGAGCTGATAGCGAGTATTTTCCAGCCCAAGGAGGTAGTTTATCATGGTAGATTTACCAACACTCCACGGTCCCAGGAACAGCACCATGGGCTTGGAGGTAATCTCTCCATCTGTGGGCAACAGGAGATAGAAATGGAATAAATCCAACAAAAGTTCAGACACAGGGTATGGCACCGTACTCCAAAGCATCTCACCGTCCATCCAATTGAGTTGTGGAATTCTCCATGAATCAGACGTGTGTAGCCCCCAGTGGCACTTCTCTTGCTACATAAGTGCGATCACCCAGTAAAAAGACACAGAAGTCACTATTGGGCCTTGCTCAGATCCTTGGCACATCTACCCCCACCAGAAGAAGTATCTCCGTGAATTCAACGAACCCTGACTTGGAACTCACCCTGCGTTAGGTCTCCTGGTTAAATCTGGAGGAGAAAAGCTTATAGAAAAAGGAGGACAGAGCTTCCACATGGAGAGAATCTGGGTTGAGAATGGAGGATGGATGTGGAGCAGCTTGTATAATCTTGGGTGATCTGGACTCAGACCCTACCTGTCTCCAGCCTCTGCAGCTTTCCTCTCCTCCAATGTGGGGATCCCCAAACTCCCAATACAGCCTAATCCTGGGCTTTAGGGCCAGTCTCTCTCTCTTTCTCTCCTCTTTTGCTTATAGTGAGGGTCTCCGTTGCCCAGGCTGAAATGCAGTGGTGCAATTGTACTCCCCTATGATGACTGGGCTCAAGCAATCCTCCCACTTCAGCCTCCCAAGTAGTAGCTGGGACTACAGGCATGTGCCCTATGCCCAGCTAGTTTTTACATTTTTTTGTAGAGACGGGGTCTTGCAGCATTGCTCAGGCTGGTCTCAAACTTCTGGGCTCAAGCCATCCTCCCACCTTGGCTTCCCAAAGTGCTGGGATTACACGTGTGAGCCATTGCACTCACCCTCTTCTAGGGCCACGCTCAAACACTAGCCTCTAAAGTCCATGACAAATTTGCCAGTGCCCAAAACCAAACAATGAACTGGCAATTCTTGGGTCCTGCATCCAATGTCCTTCCGAAAGCCATGTTGGGGAGATGACCCAGCTAAGGGTCACTCCAGGTGGGTCCCTAAGAGGAAAAATAGAATGTTCTAGTGCTTTCAAATCCAGTGGCCAGCGAGGGGAGGGGAGAGGCTTTCGGCGTGGGGTGTGGTCAATCTTATTGCAGATTTTCAGGCCTCAGCTCTTTCAGCTCTTCTCTGGACTACAGCACAGAGGGTCAGCCCTGCATAATTCAGCACCGAAGTTCTCCAGACTTGTCTCCCTGAGGCCAGCAGGTCGCCCGAAAAACACTAGGCACTCCCCTTTTGTTTCATTTATTTGTTATGATTTTAATTTATTTAATCTCTTGTTCAAAGATCAGGAATATAAAATGGTAAACAGTGAAAAGTTTCCCATCTCCATCCCAGTCTGCCTCAGCCCTCACACCCCCTGGAATAGGTAACCACTGCTGATTTCTTACATGTTATTTTAGACATTTCAATGCATATGTAAGCAATATTAGTAGCTATCACATTCCCCATCTTTTTTTTTTTTTTTTTTTTTTTTTTGAGACAGGGTCTCACTCTGTAGCTCAGGCCAGAGTGCAGTGGTGCGATCATAGCTCATGTAGCCTCGACCTCCCAGGCTCAAGCGATGCCCCCACCTCAGCCTCCTGAGTAGCTGAGACTACAGGCATGTACCACCAAGCCCAGCTCATTTTTGTATTTAGAGTAGAGATGGGGTCTTGCCATGTTGCCTAGGCTGGTCTGCAACTCCTGGGTTCAAGAGATCCACCCACCTCGGCCTCCCAAAGTGCTACTATTACAGGCATGAGCCCGGCACCCAGCACTTCCCCATTTTTTTTCTTTTTTTTTTTTTTGAGACACAGTCTTGCTCTGTTGCCCAGGCTAAAGTGCAGTGGCACAATCTCAGCTCACTGCAGCCTCCGCCTCCTGGGTTTAAGCCATTCTTCTGCCTTAACCTCCCAAGCAGCTGGAACTACAGGTGCATGACACCATGCCTGGCTAATTTTTGTATTTTTAGTAGAGATGCGGTTTTACCACGTTGGCCAGGCTGGTCTTTAACTCTTGACCTCAAGTGATCCACCTGCCTCGGCCTCCCAAAGTGCTGGGATTACAGGCGTGAGCCCCCACACCCGGCCCCTATCTTTTTACAGAGAGTGCTGCCATGTGCTTCCTCTTCTGTATCTTGCTTTCGGATGTTCTGGTCTTCCTTCTCTGAGGCTAAAGCTCAGTCCTAACCAGGTGGAGTCTTATACAGGGCAGGCACATGTACACTGCCTGAAAGCAACACCATGGCGCCGCCCCATCCCTTCCTGACTTTGAATACACAGGAGACACTTACATCTCTGTGGAAGTCAAGCCCTGGCTGAGGGCCAGGAAGGGATAAGGAGGCTGAGAGGGTGGCAGGAGTCCCAAGTTACAGCCACAGAGATGTTACAGTCTCTTAACACCGGCCCAGGTGACGACAAGGAGAGCCCTAGATGTTCCTGTTCTCTGAGACAAGCCACAAACAGGGCCCTTTCCTGGTGCTGTGGTTTCGGCTCCTCACAGCAGGGGGCACCGCTGGCCTACGCAGGAGGTGGGAGGTGAGCCTGGGAGAGGTTACAAGGAAGCTGGCCAGAGACTAGGAGTTAGGAGCCAAGCCCAGAAGGCAAGCGCAGGGGCCAGGAAGCAGGCCCGCCCTGCAGAGCGCCATGCCCTGGGGACACCGGAGCTCCTGGCCCCTGCTGCTGTCCACATAAGTTTCCTGGGAGGGCCAAGTCTCTGGGTCTTAGGGCCAAGAGAGGAAGAGAAAGCCTTTGGGAGGCTCTGTAAGCTCACACCAATGGCTGTGCGTCCGCTCCAAAGGGGCGATAACTGGCTCCTAGACTATGAAAAACAGTGTAGGTAGCTGTGGAACGGGGTATTCCCTGCTTCCAGCTGTGTGATCCTGGGTAACCCAGCACGTCTCTGGGCCTCAGGTTCCCCTCTGTAGACAGGAAGAACACAAACCCTATTATACCCTGGCCACTTACAGCCATCCGGAGCATCAAACGAGATCACATAGAAACAGCCAGATTAACACAGGGAAAGACTTGTAATCTCATTCACAAAACAATAAGATACCATTGCTAAATTTTTTAAAGATGAGTAACTTTTTTTTTTTGAGACGGAATCTTGCTCTGTCACCAGGCTGGAGTGCAGTGGTGCAGTCTTGGCTCACTGCAACCTCCACCTCCTGGGTTGAAGCGATTCTTCTGCCTCAGCCTCCCAAGTAGCTGGGATCACAGGCAGGCACGCGCCACCATGCCTGGCTAATTTTTGTATTTTTAGTAGAGATGGGGTTTCACCACACTGGCCAGGCTGGTCTTGAACTCCTGACCTCGTGATCCGCCCGCCTCGGCCTCCCAAAGTGCTGGGATTACAGGCATGAGTCACTGCGCCGGGACCAAAGATGAGTAACATTTTTAAATGGCATTGCTGTTGGGAAACAAGGACTCTCATCTACTGTTATTAAGAGTACAAATTGGTATCATGGGATACAATATGGTAACAACTAGCAAAATGTTTAATTGCAGTGTTCCAATTTTTTTTTTTTTGGGGGGGGACAGGGTCTCACTCTGTCGCCCAGGCTGGAGTGCACTGGTGCAATCTCAGCTTACTGCAACCTGCAATCTCTGCCTCCCAGGCTCAAATGATCCTCCTGCCTCAGCCTCCCAAGTGGCTGGGACCACAGGCACATGCCACCATGTCCAGCTATTTTTTATTTTTTTAAGACGGAGTCTCGCTCTGTCACCCAGGCTGGAGTGCAGTGGCACAATCTCAGCTCACTACAACCTCTGCCTCCCCAGTTCAAGTGATTCTCGTGCCTCAGTCTCCCCAGTAGCTGGGATTATAGGCACCCACCATCAGACCCAGCCAATTTTTGTATTTTTAGTAGAGACAGGGTTTTGCCATGTTGGCCAGGCTGGTCTCAAACTCCGGCCTCAAGTGATCTGCTCGCCTCAGCCTCCCAAAGTGCTGGGACTATAGGTGTGAGCCACCGTGCCTGGCCATAGGATTATTTTTAAAAGTGCTATGAGCCATCGCGCTGTGCCCCAATTTTTCTGTGTGTTTTTTGTTTGTTTTGAGATGGAGTCTTGCTCTGCTGCCCAGGCTGGAGTGCAGTGGCAGGATCTTGGCTCACTGCAACCTCTGCCTCCCGGGTTCAAGCAATTCTCCTGCCTCACCCTCCTAAGTAGCTGGGATTACAGCCGCCCGCAACCACGCCCGGCTAATTTTTGTATTTTTGGTTTCATTGGTCAGGCTGTTCTTGAACTCCTGACCTCGTGATCTGCCCGCCTCGGCCTCCCAAAGTGCGGGGATTACAGGCGTGAGCCACCATGCCCGCCCCTAATTTTTGTATTTTTTGTAGAGACAGGGTCTCACTATGTTGCCCAGGTTGATCTCAAACTCCTGGGCCCAAGCCATTCTCCCATCTCTGCCTCCCAAAGCACTGGGATTACAGGCGTGAGCCACCATGCCCGCCCCTAATTTTTGTATTTTTTGTAGAGACAGGGTCTCACTATGTTGCCCAGGTTGATCTCAAACTCCTGGGCCCAAGCCATTCTCCCATCTCTGCCTCCCAAAGCACTGGGATTACAGGCGTGAGCCACCGGGAAGGTGCTGGTTTTCCAGAGCATGGCATGGTCACGCAGGGGAAGAGCACACAGCCGTCAGAGGGAAAGAGGGAGGTCTCCACACACACACACAGCTCATGTAACAGGATCTCATGTTTGTAAAAACAAAAAATGACATCCATCTATGTGTTCACACATGAAGGGGAAATGCCTGGAAGTCTTCACTATAACAATGGGTTTCTCTGGGAGTCGAATTAAAGAAGTTGGAGGTCAAGAATAGAATTTTTATTTTTCGACATATACTATTCTGCATTATTTGAATTTTTTGCAACAAGTGTGTCTTATTTTTATTATTTTGAAAACCAATTTTGTAAAGAATCCAGGCCCAAAGGAAGCAGAGAGGAAGGGCAATAGGAGGAGGGGAAGGAACGGAGTGATCAGAGGACTCAGGCACCACCTGCGAGTAGACAGGGGGCATCTGTGGCTCTCCAGCACAGGAGGGATCAAAATTGGCATCATTGCCCTTGAAAACTCAAATGTGCATGACTGAAGCATAAAGGCTTAAAACCAAAATGCATCTGTAACACCCTGGGAAAGCATGGCGCTCTGCTGGTGACAGGGTAGTTCCGTGGTGGAGGTGTCGCCCTTTCCAACTCCCAGGGGGAGCCCAGACCCAGACCCGTGAGTCCTTGCACACGTCATGAACGAGCTCCTGAACCTGTGTGGGCACCAGGGGAGTACGGGCTGGTCAGCGGTGCGACCCCGCCAACAGGCCTGTGCCATACCTGTGATCTCATGCCCTACCTGTGATCTCGTGCCCTACCTACGAGCTCATGTCCTACCTGTGATCTCATGCCCTACCTGTGATCTCATGCCCTACCTACGAGCTCATGTCCTACCTGTGATCTCATGCTGCCGGAGCTCATTGTACTTGTAGGACTGCTCCAGGGGCTTGATGGATGAGTGGTAGATCTTCCGAAGCCGCTGAAGCACCGCTGGAGACAGAGAGGGCCAAGGGAAGAACATCAGGCAGGTGCGATCCAGGCAGCTCCTCCATTGTGGAGGGGTCTCACCACCCAGGGCAGCTCCACCCCTGCCTGGTGGGGAGCAAGCGCTGTTTGCAGCCCAGCGACTGTGCAATGTATTTGCGTTTGGGGAGCTGGCCCACATCTCAACCCACAGAAACCTCCCACCCACCCCCAAAGCCTCCTGAGCTATTTGATTATTTTATTTTATTTAATTTTATTTATTTATTTATTATTTATTTATTTTTTTTTTTGAGATGGAGTCTTGCTCTGTCGCCCCGGCTGGAGCGCAGTGGCCGGATCTCCTCCCGTCTCAGCCTCCCAAAGTGCTGGGATTACAGGCTTGAGCCACCGCGCCCGGCCTATTTATTTATTTTTTTAGAGACAGGATCTTGCTCTGTCTCCCAGGCTGGAGTGCAGTGGTGCAGTCATAGATCACTGCAGGCTTTAACTCCTGGGCTCAAGTGATCCACCCACCTCAGCCTCCCAAAGTGCTGGGATTACAGGCTTGAGCCACCCCGCCCGGCCTATTTATTTATTTTTTTAGAGACAGGATCTTGCTCTGTCTCCCAGGCTGGAGTGCAGTGGTGCAGTCATAGATCACTGCAGGCTTTAACTCCTGGGCTCAAGCGATCCACCCACCTCAGCCTCCCAAAGTGCTGGAATTACAGACATAAGCCACTATGCCGACGTTTTTTTTTTAAACCTCTCTCCTCCTTCTTCACCTCAATAGGTGTCTGAAACCTTGTCTTGGTCTGCAGCCTCACTGCAAGCCCTTTCTTTAGTGGATGAGAATTCCATCTCTGTCGCCCACCTCTGTGTGTGCTCCCTGAGGCTTAGAAGGCAAGGAGGCCCAGCATCCAGCAGGCCTGCAGAACGGCACCCTGGCCCTGGCCTTGGCCTGTCACTGTACTTCCAGACACTCCCGGGGGTGGGTCAGATAATCCAGGTGGCCTCTTTCTAGGAGGAAGCTCCCTGCTGGGAGCCCACAGTAGGAGGGAGGCACCAATAGGAAGGCCCATGGGGTGGCGAGTCAGGCTAGCGAGACTCTACCCCTCGATCCGCCACCCCCTAGCTGTGTGCAGGAGCAAATCGCTGCCAGCCTGAGCTCCAGTTAGGTGGTTCATTGATTAAGAGGAGACAAGCCCTGCTGCATTCCTTGGGTTTCAAAGATAAAATGAAATACCACACATGACACGGCTTTATAAACTAAAAATCACAGCAAAGGAGATGGGTGTGTGTTAAGCATCCTCCCCGCACAGCATGGGGCCACACTGGATTCGCCCACACTGGGCCGTCTGCTTGGACGGCCCTTCCTCCTCTGTGCCCACCTGAAACCCCGAGGCTCGGACCCCGCTCACAGAGCCTCCTCCACGAAGCCTCCCACCTTCAGGGCTCTCCTCTTCCCCAACGTCCCCTCCGGCCTCCAAGATACAGCCGCAGCGTGCCCTGGCTCTCAGGAGCCTCCAGGAGTCTGCCTGGGCCCTGGCGGGCGGGGCTCTCCCAGCCCTGGGCACATCTCCCTCCCCTGGTTACCAGAGTAGTCATCAGATGGCTTGTCCTCATTCAGCATGAGGGTCTTCTCGATGTGGGAGCGGTCCCTCAGTGGGGCTTCTTCATTTGCATCCTCCGTCTCTTCTGTGGAGAGAAGCGGAGAGCAAGGTGAGGGCCAAGCGAACGGCCAGCTGAGCTCTGTGCCCCGGCAAGGCAGACGGAGGCTGGACCTCGAGGAGGGGCTCAGCGGGGTCTTGCCAAGTTACATTGGACTGAGTTCTGCCTTTAGGAAGGAATTTAATCATCCAAACTCTATGAAGCTCCATGTGCAATGTATTCACATTCGGGAAGCTGGTCCACATCTCAACCTGCAGAAACCTTCTTATCTATTTATTTCATATATTCAACAAATATGTATTGAACACCTTCGCCACGCCAGGCACTGAGCATCATGCTGGGAATGCAGTGGTGCCCAAAACAGGCACAACTCCTGCCCTTAGGCAGTTGCTCTTAGTCCAGCGGAGTCAGAGATGATAGTCTTTAAAGTAACGTTGGGGCCGAGTGCAGTGGCTTACACCTGTAATCCCAGCACTTTAGGAGGCCGAGATGGAAGGATCACTTGAGCCCAAAAGTTTGAGACCAGCCTGGGCAACATAGCAAGACCCCATCTCTACCAAAAAAAATTTTCCAGGCACTGGTACACACCCATAGTCTCAGCTCAGGAAGCTGAGACAGGAGGATTCTCTCAACTCAGGAGGTCAAGGCTGCTGTGAGCCATGATCACCCCACGGCACTCCAGCCTAGGTCACAGAACAAGACCCTGTCTCAAAAAATTAAAACATCAAACATCTCTGGAGGCTTTGGGGGTGGGTAGGAGAATGCCTTTTGGCTTGAACTCCAGCCTGGGCAAAAGAGGAAGACCCTGTCTCAAAAATAATAAAAATAATAATAATAAAATGTAATCATTACAGATGATGAGGTGGCCACAGAAGGAAACATTCTGAAAGCTAAGTGGGGCTCAGGGTGTGCCTGCACCAGTGGTCTCAGCAGCAGGGTCACAGAAAGCCTCCCCAGGTCTCTGCTGGGGGAGGGAGTTAGGTGAAGGGTGGAGAGAAGCGTTCTGCGAAAGCCCCAGACGAGCCTTGTTTAGCAAGAAGCAGGAGAAGGGGAGTCCAGCTGCAGTCAGGGAGGCCTAAGTCCTGGGGAGCTGCTGAGGTCCTCAGGGCTGACCCGGCAGGACCTTCCACAGGGCTTTGGGTCTCATCCCAAGCGCAATGGGAGCCAGTGAGGGGCTCCAGGCAGGCAGCCGCCGCGGCCACATGACGTTTCATCAGGATGACACTGGCCGTGTGGGAAGGACGGCTGGGAGGGCCACTGAAGGGTGTGTGTGTGTCTGTGTGTGTGTTGTGTCTGTCTCGGTGTCTGCGTTTCTATGTGTCTCTGTGTAGATCTCTGTGTCTGTGTGTCTCTGTGTCTGTGTATGCCTGTGCATGTCTGTGTTGCATATGTGGGTCTGTTTCTGTGTGTCTGTTTCTGTATCTCTGTATCTGTGTGAGTCTGTGTGTATCTACGTGTGTGTGTGTGTCTGTGTGTTTCTGTGTCGCTGTGTGTCTGTATCTCTGTATCTGTGTGAGTCTGTGTGTATCTACGTGTGTGTGTGTGTCTGTGTGTTTCTGTGTCGCTGTGTGTCTGTATCTCTGTATCTGTGTGTATATTTCTGTCTGTGTCTCTCTGTTGTCTGTATCTGTGTATCTGTGTGTGTGTCTGTGTATCTGTGTCTGTCTCTGTGAGTCTCTGTATCTATGTGTGTGCCTCTGTGTGTCTGTATCTCTGTATCTGTGTGTATATTTCTGTGTCTGTCTCTCTGTTGTCTGTATCTGTGTATCTGTGTATGTGTCTGTGTATCTGTGTCTGTCTCTGTGAGTCTCTGTATCTATGTGTGTGCCTCTGTGTGTCTGTATCTCTGTATCTGTGTGTATATTTCTGTCTGTGTCTCTCTGTTGTCTGTATCTGTGGATCTGTGTGTCCGTGTGTCTGTAGATCTGTGTGTGTGTGTGTGTGTGTGTGTGTGTGTGTGTTGAGGGGAGCAACTGTGGCTTCTCACCCAGAGATCAAGTGATGTGGGTGCCTGCTGCAGGCTCCCAGGGAGAGGGAGGCTCCCGTTCCTGAGCCTATGATATCACAGCCGCTTCTTCCCAGGCTGCCTGCACAGAGGATTTTAGGCGAGTAGAAGAGGGGTGGACTCGGGCCTTATGGGGCAGAAGGAGGCCAGCTCCACTAGGGGTGAGACTCAAAAAAGAGTCCATGTGCGTCTTGCAGCATCTCATGACAGTGACTCTTTAAACCAGTCCCAGGCAGCCCCAATGCCAGACCCAGAATAGGGAGCTGACTGACCACAGCACACACCCGCCCTTATGGAGTACAATTCCTGACAGGTAGTATATAAATAGTATGTAGATAGTATATAAATTGACTGGGAGTGGTGGCTCAAGCCTGTAATCCCAGCACTTTGGGAGGCCAAGGTGGGCGGATCATGAGGTCAGATCGAGACTCTCCTGGCTAATATGGTGAAACTCCATCTCTACTAAAAATACAAAAAAAATTAGCTGGGCATGGTGGCATGCCCAGCTATTCGGGAGGCTGAGGCAGGAGAATGGCGTGAACTCGGGAGGCAGAGCTTGCAGTGAGTTGAGATCGCGCCACTGCACTACAGCCTGGGCGATAGAGCGAGACTGTCTCAAAAAAAAAAAAATTGCCAAGCGTGATAGTGCATGTCTGTAGTCCCAGCTACTCAGGAGGCTGAGGTGGGAGGATCGCTTGAGCACTTGAGCCCAGGAGTTAGAAGCTGCAGTGAACTATGGTTGCACGACTGCACCCCAGCCTGGGTGACAGAGCAAGACCCTGTAAAAAAAAAAAGAAAAAGAAAAAAGGATGTAAATGAATTCTGCAACAAAGCCTGTGGGGAAGCCATCTTGGAGAGTGAAGACTTGACCTTGACCTCTACCCTGAAAGCCCCATTCCTGGTCTAAGTCCATGCACTAAGCAGATGCAGCCATGAAGGTGCCTGACCGACCCTCGCATCGGCTGCAATTCTCACACTGCCCGAGAGCTTCGGCCCTGCCCTTCCCCCTCTGCTCCTGGCCCCTAGACTTTTGAGGGCAGCCTTGGCAGCTTTAGGTGGGCATTTGAGAGACAATGGTGGTCACAGCCTGAGTTCTCATCTCATGATCCTGACCCCTCGGTCCTGGTTCTGCAATGCTTCCTACAGCCTAGTCTTCAAGGGGAGACCCCAGTCCTAGCCCACTAAGGGAATCATCAGGGAAGTTCCCAACCCACCCCCATCCACTCCCTGCACGTCCCTCCACCCGCCAATCACAGGGCACCGATCACTCCATTAGCTCCCTGCTCCTTTAGGTTGAGGCAATGGCATGGGCTACGGCGCATCAGGGACCCTAAAGGGAGGTTCTGGGGGCCCCTCTGACCCCTCTCACTGCCCCTTTCAAACTGGAGGCCAGCAGCCAATGCACAGCCTGAAGGCACCTCCCTGGGCCGGGACCCTGAAAAGGGCCTGCCACCCTCTGCCACCTTCTCCTGTCCCTGCCTGTCCCCTGCACACAAGACTTCCAGGGAGAATGCAGCTGCCCAAGGGACGGGCTTGCTATTAGGGAATTAATTCCTACCCTGAGCAGCAACGATGGGACTCTCCCTCCCCTGATGTCCCTCCTTGGGCTCCTCTGCCTTCATGTCCAGGGTCTCACTGCCCACGGACTCCGTATTCAATTCCTCCGAGCCAGGCTGGACCCCTCTGTCCCTGTGGCTTGTGGTTTCTGTGGCTTCCTGAAGCTCCCCGCCTTCCTGGGGCTCCCCAGCTTCCTGAAGCTCCCCACCTTCCTGGGGCTCCCCAGCTTCCTGGAGATCTCCGCCTTCGTGGGGCTCCCCAGCTTCCTGGGGCTCCCCACTTTCCTGTGGCGCTCCACCTTCCTGAGGTTCCCCAGCTTCCTGAGGCTCCCCACCTTCCTGGGGCTCCCCACTTTCCTGTGGCGCTCCACCTTCCTGAGGCTCCCCAGCTTCCTGGGGCTCCCCATCTTCCTGGGGCTCCCCATCTTCCTGGGGCTCCCCACTTTCCTGTGGCGCTCCACCTTCCTGGGGCTCCTCGGCTTCCTGGAGATCCCTGCCTTCCTGGGGTTCCCTGGCTTCCTGGGGCTCCTCGGCCTCCTGGGTCTGCGTGGCCTCCTCAGAGGTGCCCTCTGCTTCTTCTGAGCTAGCCCGATTGCCGCTGTCCTCTTCAGACTCCTCTTCAGAGGGAACTCCTCCTTCTTCCTCGCTTTCACCTCCATCGCCACTTTCCTCTTCAGAGGAGGCCTCATCTGCGTCCTCCTCGGTCATCTCGGGGGCCTGGTTCTCCTCAGTGTCCCCTGCCTTGGCGCTCTGGGCGCCCCCAGGCTCTGCACTGGCCTCTGCAGCTGGGCCGGGCTCCCCCTGGTCCTCGGTGCCCTCACTGGCTTCTGTGTCAATATCCGGCTCCGACTCTCGCACAATAGTCGCCACATCAGGGGCTCCCTCTGGCACTGCAGGCTCCTGGCCAGGGCCAGGGCTGCCCTCGGCCTCTGTGTTCAGTGAGTAGAACCCATCACCCTCTGAGCGAGGAGAGGCCCCCTCTGCCTCTGGCTCTGCTGTCCCTGCCACTGCTTCCTGCACCGGGCTGTCCCCTGGGACCTCCTGGACTTCCTCAGGGAGTTCATGGCCCCCAGCCTGTTCTCCTCCCTCTCCACTGGCAGCTCCCTCCGTGGGGAGCCCAAGCCCAGTCTCCTCCTCTGCTATTCCCTCTCCAGAACTGGGCTCCGGCCACTCCTCTTCCACAGGCCCCTCGGTCCCTCCTGGAGGGAGGGCGCTTGCCACTGGTGGGCCATTCTTTTTCTCCCCAGGCCCCGCAGAGTCCCTGTTGTCCTTTTCCCCAGGTGGAGGTGACTCTGTGGCTGAGGCATTGGAAAGGCTGGCTTCAGGATCGGAGCCCGGGCCAGGGGCAGACACGGGGGTCTTCTCGGGGCTCTCGGCCTCCCTGCCATCTGGGCAGTGAAGGAGCAGTTTCTTGTCTTGAGGGGCTGTGTCTGCATAAAGCGCCCTTTCTTTCTCCTCTAGACTTGCGTCTCCAGCAGAGAAATGATTCTCCAACAAATTGCCAACATCCTCTGTGCCACCCGACGCGGAGACTTGCAGTTCTAAATGATTAGAACATGATTGGTCAGTTTCACAGGGCTGGCACCGGCTGTGTTTCTCAAAAGAGTCTACATCAACCCAGCTCCCGTCTTCCGGGATGTGGTGTTGGCCTGGTGTGCAGTGTTACGCCTATCAACCTAGGTCTTCAGGACTACCTCGTACGTAGAGAGCAGAATAGGTGTTATCCTGCCTCCCTCCCAAGATGTGGAAACTGTGGATCAGGGAGTTAAAGGACTGACCCACTGTCCATCACTAAGAAGTGAGCAGCTGTGCTAACCCGAGAACCCCCGCGACCCTGGCCCTGACCTTCAAGCTTCCCGGCTTGGTCCTGATGACTGTATAGGGAGGGAAACTTGGATGAGCCCTTCCAGTCCTTCCTCACCCTTGCTCATGGGCATGTGCAGCTGGGCTCAACCTTGGAGATACTTCCAAGATGGGACAAATGCCTGTGCATCCCACCTCGTGGCAGTTCCTACCATCATTAACCAGCAGGCTTTTAATACTGCTCTCAGCAAAGGAGTGAAAACAGGTGTTTGCAGGCGGGATAATCTTAGGTTACACAGCACAGTGCTTAGGGGATTACTTGTGGCTCTCAACCTTATTAAGTCACACATCTAACCCTGTCCCAGTAAGGGCAGGCATTTGCTGGCCTCCCTACCTTAGATTAGAGGGCACATGGCCTGAGGAGGAGATATCCAAAACAGGCCGGGCCTGGCTTCCCGAAGGCTCTGGCCAACCCCTTCCAAGGGGATCCCCTTGTACGGGACTGCAGCTTAACCCAGAGAGTGGAGGGCCCAGGAAGAGAGAAGAGTAGGGGCCTTGTCTGTGCCAGAGACCTCTGTCAAGGATCAAGTTTAATATGTTTGGAAAACGGGGTCAGAAAAGGCCAAGTGTGGTGGCTCATGCCTGTAATCCCAGCACTTTGGGAGGTCGAGATAGGCAGATCACCTGAGATTGGGGGTTTGAGACCAGCCTGGCCAACATGGTGAAACCCCATCTCTACTAAAAATACAAAATAAGTAACCAGGTGTAGTGACACACACCTGTTATCCCAGCTACTCAGGAGGCTGAGGCTGGAGAATCACTTGAACCCGGGAGGTGGAGGCTGCAGTGAGCCGAGATCACGCCACTGCACTCCAGACTGTGCAACACAGCAAGACTCCATCTCAAAAAAAAAAAAGAAAAGAAAATGGGGCCCATTGGGCCCACCCCTCTACCCTCTGTCCCCAGGCTAGGGTCTGTTTATGGGGGACATTGCAGGTTCATGGAGATGAGGGGACCACAGGCTCATGCCTCGGGGCAGCTGAGGCGGTGTCTGTTCTCCCTTGACTCTCAAGGCCCCTCTCTGAGGAAGAACACCCCACCTATCTGCTGGATGCAGACAACCCCCCTCTCTCAGGCCACCACTTGCTACTCCCATCTCTCCTTCCCACAAAGAAAAGTCACTTCTTGGGGTACCCCTTCTCCCTCAGGGTGCCCACCCTTGTTCCCCAAAAGCTGGGGCGGCCTCCAGGGATCAGAAGCAAATATTTTCTCATTAGTTCCCATAGACAGCCAGCCTGCTGTCAAACTCAGAAAGATGTGAAGCTTGGTGCCTTTTACTACAGAGGAGCCCCGTGGATTGAAATATACAACTTTTCCCCCAGCACTTTCACATGCACGGCCCTTTAACCTGCTTTATGACTGTCACAAAGATTTTAGAGCTAAATTAGTGAAAGTCCAGAGATCTTTGCCCTGCCCCAGATACGTCACTACTAGGTGGCTAATGGGTGACCAGAACCCAGAACTGCCCAGCGCCTGTCCAGGCTTCCATGCCGTGCTGTGCTTAGCGGGGCACGGGGAAGCCCTTCCTGCCGGTACCTCTGCTCCTGCCTGCACACGCCTTCTCTCAAGGCTCATGCTCCGTACTGGTCCTGGCTCCTGATTTACAGGAATCCAATTTAATTCTGTGTTCCCAGGGCCTGGGACCCTGCCTGACCCACAGAAAGTGCTGGAAGACGTCTGCAGTTAGATTTGGGTACTGATAAGAATTCCTGGTCTCTCTGTGGGGGACAGGACAGGGAGCTGAGTGTTGCTCATTTTAATCTTTCGTCACCACCTACATACCTGTAAGTCCTGACTCCTTCACCTACATCTCTATCTCTCTGCCTTCCACCCCCGCAGAAAAATCTATGCTGGGAACTTGGTTTAATCAGAGGAGACTGACTGTCCTTTGAGCAGCAGGATACGTATAATGTACATGACGTACATCTGTATGTACATATCTGAGATACAGCCTGCCAGACAATGCTTAAGCACTTTATATATAAAACAGTATCCTCATCATACTGAATTTTCTTAATCTTACTTGTTTTGGTAAAATGAGTATTACTCATATTCCTTTTTTTTTTTTTTTTTGAGACAAGGTCTCACTCTGTCACCCAGGCTGGAGTGCAGTGACACGATCTCGGTTCACTGTAACCTCCACCTCCTGGGTTCAAGCGATTCTCCTGCCTCAGCCTCCCGAGTCGCTGGGATTACAGGCGCATGCCAGGTTAATTTTTGTATTTTTAGTAGAGACGGGGTTTCACTATGTTGGCCAGGCTGGTCTTTAACTCCTGACCTCAAGGGATCCACCCACCTCAGCCTCTCAAAGTGCTGGGATTACAGGCGTGAGCCACCACACCCAGTCTCATATCCCTATTTTTACAGACGAGAAGACTGGAACCAGAGACATTGAGGCCCTTGTTGAATGTCACACAGCTAATAATTGGCTTGGGCCATGTGACTTCAGAGCCACAGTATCCCCTGGGAGCCTGTTAGAGATGCAGACTTTTAAGCTCCAGCCCGGACCCATTGAATCAGAATTTGCATTTTAACAAAATAGCCAGGCGACTCCTGTGCACATTATAGTCTGAGAAGTGCTGGGCTACACCACCTCACAAACTACCCCTCAGCCAGCGATTCTCAGCATTGGCTGCATGTTGAAATCATCTGCTTCTTGGTCCCATACTTCCCTTTCTCTGCGGTTTTGATTTAAATAATCCAGGGTATAGCACCAGCATCAAGATTAAATTTTTTAAAAAAAGTTCTTAGATAACACACAAAGTTGCAAACCACTGCAACTACCAAATCAAATAATCTTGACCCCCAGGTTTCAGTTCCCAGGCCCTCCCCACTCGCAGGCCCACCCCACTGAGGATCCCCGTTGTGGGCTCCCACGTTGGGGTGGGTCTCCTAGGACCTGGCGTTTGCCTTTGGAACAGCAGTGGTTAAGGCTTCTCCTCTGGGAATCCAGCCCTTTCCATGGGCTCCTGTTGCCCTTCAATGATGGTGATGACCATGCTAATGAAGAGGATCGTGATGATGATGGTGGTGACGATGATGATGAGGATCGTGATGGTGATGATGATGGTGATGATGATGATGAGGAGGATCGTGATGGTGATGATGGTGATGATGGTGATGATGGTAATGACCATGCTGATGATGAAGTTGTGATGATGATGGTGATGATGATGATAGTGATGATGACGATGATGATGACGATGGTGATGATCATGATGATGACGATGAGGATGATAGTGGTAATAATGATACTGAGCTGAATGAACTCTAGGTCTGATGTCCTATAACATTTCTGACAGTCTCAAAAGCCCTTTTCCCTGGTAAAGGTGAGAGGGCCACACAGTCCCAAGGGGGATGAAGACTCCAGACTTTGCGGGTTCACCATGACCATGACCTTCACACTGCTGTGTGTTTCCACTCCTGGGCCCTGGGCAGGAAGCGAGGCATGTGCATGCATGTATGCACATTTATATTCAAGCTCTTCCCTGGTTTTCACAACTTAGGGCCGAGCTTCCCCTGAACTTCAGCTAAACAATTTGGAGTAAAAAGGACTGAGGATAATGGCTTCTTACACTGTGACCTTTCTTCCCAGGCTAAAAATAACTGCTCCAACAGAAAGTCTCTCAATGAAACAAGCTGTCCCATTAGGCCCCAGAGCTCAGTCCCCAGGAAGCAGCTGTGCCACTGGACCTGGTTCTCCTCTTGAAGGCGCAGACAGAGGTGTGGGAGCCTCTGATTACACTCACTTCCATCCCAGGACATCTCACTTCAATCCTGGGAAATCAAGGCTGGTGTCTTTTCTGCCTCCCTCGCCTCTTGCCGAAGCACCCTATTGGCCCTGGGGCAGGGAGGCCGCAGAGGACCCAGGACACCCTGGAGAGGTGAATCCTCAGTAAGATGAGTCTTGGTCTATCCCGGGACATGAAGTGCCGCACTGTATGTGCTCCTGCCAGGGTAGCCGCCCTGGCTCCGGCCAGGCCAGGCCCAGGACTGACGTCAGGGCACAGGAATAGCAGGCCCCAACTCTGCCCAGAGACCATGGGAAGGCCCCAGCCCCACTCACACCCAGGCCAAGCACGACACACACCAATCCTGCTTCTCCCACCAGCCCCTCTGCCACCAGCCTTTCTCAGGGGGCCAGCTTTCCAGCAGCTCCCACCAGCCCTACAGCCTCACAGAGCCCCAGGCTCAGTCCCTCTCTCCTCTCTCCACCACCAACCAAACGCCCTGATTTTGTGTCTACAGCCCTGTCTCATTCCAAAGCACTTTTACACGAACTCAGAGGACTGTGAAGTTGCCAAGGGCCCTCGTGAGTCCAACTGTAAAGGAGGAAGCTCTGGCCAGAGACCTTCAGAGACTCGCCCAAGATCGGGGTAGGGGTGGGACAGAGCCCAAGTCTATGACCCTTAGTCTGGAGTTCTTTCTGCCCCCACGGAGTTCACCATGAGGTGAACTTCACCATGAACTGCTAGGGTTCCATAAAAGTGACTCATGGGGTGAGGAAAGATCAAACAGCAGAGACAGCCACCGGCTTTGTACTTCCTTCTCTCGCTGAATTTGTGTGCCCCAGTGTCTACAGGGAAATATTGGAGGGAGACTGGCAAGTCCTGCTCCTTTACTCTCCTTGCTTCTTCCCTCAGAATATTAGTATCTGTCTCGAGCCTCCTATCCATTA